GAAACAAGTAATCGTTCCATGTAGCCAAATCCTATACATATGTATATCCGACGATAACGATTACAGGCGTGAACTTAGGCACCGTACAGCACACCGTGAAACTTAGGTGTAGAGAAAAAAAGAAAAAAAAAAGAAAGAAAGTAAATGCATCATCTGGTCTCTTTAAACTACCATTAACAAATGGAAGCATATTAATACGCTTGGCAATCATTACTCAGATAACATTAATGGTGTATGATAAGAAAGCATCTATCGGAGAAGTAGCTATAAGACACTTTCTATACGGGTCAAGTTTTTTTTTTTTTTTTGGAGGGAATTTTGTTCGAAGATACTGTGGATCGTCAAAAGTGTGATTTGATTAGGAGGGGGGGCGTTTGCACTTGGAGGTAACTATGATGTTATTGCTATTATTGAAGCGGTGGTACTATACGGAATTGAATCAATTTGATACCGGTACGGTAGCTTGGATTTACGTAACGAAGCTTACAATCAGATGTACTGAAACTTTAGTGCATAATCTAGGTTTACGTTCTACCTCGGGTAAGATCGATTCTTCGGGAGACAGTTGCCTTTGTCGATTAACTTGATTGTGCGAATGTGGGAGGTGTAGTCGAATGGGAATAACGTTCTTACTTTCAATCTAATTTTTACGAAATGATATGTAAGTATATATATATCATTTTTGAAAATGATAGATAATATGGTGTTTACGAGGAGCTTTACGTTTGGTAATCAGTTTAACGAAAGAACGAATTTCGTCGATGAGGGAAGTTTTGTAAATGAAAATTAGTATCTTTGCTCCAAGTGAAGAATAATTTTTGCACTTTCAATATTCGGATGTCGTTTGGTGAAAAGTTCGCATTGGAAAATTTTCGAAAACAGTTTCAAATTGTAGAATTAAACGCGAAATCAACGTTTCGATCGCTGAACACCGAAATCGAATAAAACGAAGACACTTTCGAAGTATACAACGAAGTACTGTTCAATTAACTTAATTAATATCTATTTCGACTATCGCTTAGTGAGAAGTTCTTAGCAGAGAATTTTCAAGAACAATTCCAAATTACAGAATTAAACAGGAAATCAACAATTCAATCGCTAAACACCGAAATCGAGTGAAACGAAGACATTCGGAATACACAATGAAAGTACTATTTAATCAACGAATTGTCTATTATGCACTAAACGTTTCAGACGTTCTACGAGATGCAAAGCAGCCTGTGCAACGGTACTGCAATGATTACACCCAAAACGCGACGTTACACAGAGAAGAAGAGAGGTTAGGGGACGAAAGAAAAAGGAAAAATAAATAGACAAGTGTTACATATACTGCTCTACAACGCCAAAAAGAAAGAAAAAAGAAGACACATCCGTATTCCTTTCTTTGATACAATTCGAAAAAAAAAAAAAAAGAAAAAATAACAAGAGTGACACACCTCTTACCATCGGGCACGATGGGTTTGCAGAACACACATGATAGGAAGAGTTTATTCAGTAGCATTCTTGCAACTTCATTTGCACTGCATAGTGGTGTGATAAGCGTCACGGTACTCATCATAGCATCCACCTGGCTGAGTGTGACAGTACATGCAACGAGAAGCAACACATACACACATGCTAGAAACGTAAATGTTAAACGAAATAACAAACATTCGTAAAAAGAAGAGAAAAAAAAGAAGAAGTGAGATGCGATTTTTCTTTTCTTTTCGGTAAATCGTTCCATTTCCATCCCCCATATGACCGCTGAAATGTAAATCGAACGTTAATACGTGATATCAGGTAAAAGATATCGACGTGTGCACACTCGTGACACGATATTTCGAAAATTCAAAAAAATGCTGTTATATATACATATATATGTTTGATAAAATAATATTTCGTACTGTTTCGATAAATCGTAGGATTTGCATTTTTGTTCGTGGAAGTAGATCGTAGTGGTACAGGTGAATAAGCTTGAGTGAAAATTACGTTTCAGGTAGTTCGGGGTTATTTTAAATTGTTCAATTTTACCGCGCATCGATCGGTAAGTTGATGTAAGTTAAAGTTGACAGTGTCGGTATGTATACCTAACGATGAGTCGTGCTGAATTTATCGACAGTAACTATATAGAATGTATCGTTGGTCGGTAATTAGATGATTTTATTTTGCGATTCGACAGATTTACGCTTACCAACTGTGCAGTAATCTGATGGAAATTAAATCGCTAATTGAACGACTATTTGTTTCTATGCACGCCAGAGACAAGTCACATTTGTAAAAGTATTATAAGTTCGGTATTTTTTTTTTAGTTTGAAAAGTGAAATATATTTTTATATTACAATTTGATATTTTTAAATACTAGAATGTTTGTTTGCGTTTAAAAATATTGACCAATTGCTGGTAAGCGATGGTAACTATGAAAATCGTTGTGTAAAATAATTTTTCGTAATAAGAAAGTTTCCGAAAATTCTAATTAAAATTAGATTTCACAAATTCTAGTTAGACTTTCTTAAATTCTTTATAATACCGACCAAGAAATATACTAATTTATTGTATTTTTTATAATATTTTTCAAATATTGAGAAAATAATACCCATCTTTGGCGTCGTTGCAATGTTATACGAACCTTTTATTTTTACAATGACGAAAGGCTACGTAGAATTGTAAAACACCGTTCGGACAATTACAAATATTAATAAAAATCCCTCGGTAGTCAATTTGAAAATTAACAATTTAAAATAATTTTTAGTTCTATAAATTTAGTTTACGTTGAATTAATACAAAACAAATTACGCCATTTTAAACATAATAGGTTGATACAGGAATTGAAAGCAAGCATTAATTTCAGTGCTTCGAATGAATACTCGAAATAAGATAAAATTATCGATTTAAAAAGCAGCATTTTAAAATATATATTCTCCTTTCTTGAAATGATAAGAAATTGTCAACCCTTTCGGTACTGTGTCGGTAAAGAAAACTGTCGTCACATAATAAAAATGAAAAATTCTCCTATCGCTTTTCCTATTAAAATAAATAAAAGCATGGCAAGACTTAATTTTATTTTTACCTTTCCAGTGTTATCGGTAACGTTACAACGAAAATTTCGAGAAATTTCAATGCTAAATTTAATTCGAAAGCTTGTTCCTTCATACTTTTCTCAAACATCTGCGACATTAACAAAGAAAATTGGTAAAAATGGAAAATAATATCTCCAACAGAGAACTTCTACATCTCGACGTGGTATTATATTTGTCTATGAATAGCAGAGTGCACAAAGGGAGATCTGGTTCGATCATTCATGTGTCGAAAGATATTGTTTATCACTTAAATTTGATTCAAGCAGGCCTTGAAAAAGTTCGGATCGCGTGAACTAAAGGTTTAAAGCGACTCTCGAATTATCGACACGTTAACAAGCAAAAAGGTCAGAACCAGCCCAAGACGCAAAGCGTCGAAATCGTTTCAACGTAAAGAGCATTCGCTTTTTTAAAACAAAAATGTCAAATAACAAAATCTTCTATATCCCCTAAAGAAAGTGCTACGAAACAAATATCAAAAATACTCTAAATACGGTAAAATTGCATTTCGATTTCACTTCAGTTTCAAAATAACCGAATAACCGTTACATAAAAGAAAAAAAAAATACAAAAAAACCTATTCAAATTTTCCACATAAAATTACATAACCAATTAACGTTAACTTCCATATTTTCCGCATTTATAACACTTTCTACCCAAAGAAAAGAGCACTATTTTCCAATTCCTAGAATACAACAAAAACCCCGAAAATGACTTAAAAAACGCGTGAATTCGTGACCAGTATCGAAAGGGCGAGAAGCAAATCGTCACTTCGATGCGTAATCTTCTTTCCTCGATCGTGTTTCCACGGTAGAAAGAGAGGGTTAATTAGAGAAAGAAGAGATAATAAGCGGCAGAAAAATTTAGCGGCGAAGCGTAGAGAAGAGAAAAGGGAGAAGCGTGTGAAAGAGAAAGAGAGGAAGAAAAGAAGAGTATATAGTTACGATAGAGAAGCTGAATGTAGTAGTAGTAGTAGTAGTAACAAAGAACAATTAATCATTTCTCTACGGCAAGTCCCGTTTCGTCCAGTTTCCGGTTCGCACTAACATCTCAACATCGATTATGCTCACACAGATGAATGTCAGATGATGGTAATATTCTAGATACCTCGAACATAAGGAGGGGAAGCATGACAATTTCCATGGCAGCTACGTGGCAAAACTAGTGAAAGGCGCCTCAAAGCTTCGGCTAGGCGGCCTGTAGCCCCAATTTGTTCACTCTCAGCGAAATCGAATTGCTCTCCGATGTTATCTTCAAATAGAAGCAAACGGTATACCGAGGTTTTTTTTATAACGGTTACCATTATACAAGTTCTCTCTGTTCTCTACATAATTTCTTTCGTTATTTTCCCTTCCGAACCTCAGATAAAAAATATATGTATTCCAAGCGCCGGTGTCTGCGATTTCAATATCGCGCACGCTTCAATTCCGTGTTTCTCGACAGAGATCGCGGAAGGGGCAGCGACACGATCTCGTTTCCTCTGACAATTATCGTTGGGAATATCTTTTGCAACGTCGTTTCTTATTTAAACTTCGTTCTCCTCGTGGCTGGATATTACTTTACTTGCGCGCCTCGTTACAGATTTTTGGAACAGCTGAGAATGAGAAAGGAATTATTTTTCGTTTCTTTCGCGCAGATATTTGGTGTCTTTCTTTCTTTTCTTTTTTGCGTGGTGGTGATTTTATCGCGGGTGAAAAGAATGCTTCCTGGTCGTTTTGGTAAATGGGATTATGGAGATGCACGGTGTTTTGTGTCGGAATGATAATCAAATTTTTATGAACAACAGTGGTGATGATTAATTGAAAGGTAATTTGTCAAGAAATAATAATAAGAAACGAAAGGATAGCAAGTTTTTCAAATTAAATGCAATCTGTTTTAACCCTAGAGCGGTCTCCGGGTCTTTTCTGACCCACCGCCCTTTTTATATTTTTAGCAATTTTTGCTGTTATCAAGTTTAAAATTATTACACGTAAGGTCTTAGGTCCTTTTTCACCCAAAAGTCTTAGGTGTACAGTCGAGATTAAGAACGCACTAGGGTTAAGGAACAAATTCAATTTCATTTTTATAGATAACAAATGGTAGCAAATGTTAAAAATTAAATGCAATCTTTCTTAGGACACGAAAGATATTTAATTATAATTTGTGAATAAAAGGAACGAAAAATATTTAACTTCATTTTTACGGAAAACAAACGACAGCAAATTTAGAAAATTAAACACAATCCTTTTTAAGGAATAAAAGATATTCTAGTTACAGTTTGATTTGATTTAATTTACGATTAGGTATTACGACCACGAAAATTCTGAATATATCCACGATATCGACAAATTAACACGAAACCGTAAGGAAATCACTTCTAAAATTTGTCTATTTCGCTCGCATCGTCGACAAACGTGAAATCAGCGTGGCAAACATTTCAAATCGCAAACACTCGGCGTGACGCGACATACAGCGCTACAAATTGTACTTTAATCGCCGTTTATTTACTATTTCATCGCTATGTTATACATACAATACTCGTTACAGATATTCTTCTAAAAAAAAGCACAAAAAAAAAAAAGTAATAATAACAAAACAACTACTGAAACAAACTGCAAAAATTCTCGTTTGACACACCTTCGGCGCATCCTCAATCAATACATCTCTAAATCTGCAATAAATCAAACAGATATTCACGCATGTCCGCTTTTGTCTCTAAATCTTCTAACAATTTCCCTCGTATAATTCTATTCACAAAGCAACGCGAATCGATCGAATAATAATCGTAAATGTAATTATACGCCTATTGAAAGCACACTGAGAATAGCGATTAATAACAGCGACAGCCACAGAAGCTAATGTTTGCAAATATACGCAAACTATAGATATACACTCTGATCGCAAAACGTGTATTTTTTAAAAAATATCGAATTTGTCTTTTCTTTTTTCTTCTTTTTCTTTTTTTTTTTTTGGAGAAACATTACGAGACACGCTGAATTAAATTGAACATGTTACTGTATGTATTATAGTGTGTAATATATTCAGTCCTAAATGAAAGGACGAGTGTATTCGACAAGTTTCTGTGTATCGACGATTACATTTTACGTTGCAACGAGGCAATCATTTTTTAATATTACATTGCGAATATTTATTGCGAATTTTATTATTATCTTGCATTCATTTGCAAATGCGCGTGACTTCTAAGCGAAGCAAATTGTAACGGATTCTTCACATATCTCTCGCGCGAATATCTACCTTTTTATTCGATTATTTCGAATTATCCCTCCTAGCAAAAAAAATTCTCACTTATTCGCGTTTAAAATAAATTTCATTCCTACGAAATGCTCTATTTTTTCTAACATAGGAAATATTTTCTGAATAAGCTCGATGGAATTTCCTTCAGAAATTTCACTGCAATTTTTACCAAAGTTTCACGCATCGATTGCCTTTTTCGAATTCGTTCGTTAAAATCTCGGTTGGAGGAAACGTTTCCGCGTCTTTTCACGCGTTAATTCGATCGAACAAGCCTTTGAAGTAATAGTACAAAAGAAAAAAGTAGAATCTTCGTCCCAAATCAGCGCAAAAAAATTTTCTCCAATCGTCCAAATCGCGACTAGTGCGTGAAAAGCTGAGAGTGCGAAAAACTGGAAGACAGCTGCGATAGTTACGAAAAAAGACACGTAGATATACAACGTGTGTATAGTGATCGCTATAGAGAAAAAAAAGTATATATATATATATACATGTATGTATATGTGTATCTAACAGAAAGTTGTGGACAACAGACTTTCCATATAAAAGACTCGAGTAAACGTGAGTGAAAAACAAAACAAAGAGAGACTTGTACCACACACACACACACACGCACACACACAGATTGAACGTGACAGAAAGAAAATTTCGAGAATTGAAACGAAAAAAAGAAACACGAATCGAAGAGATTTGTTTTTATCGAACAGATCGGACAATCGCATGCTCTGAAGATAATATATGTAGTATAACCGGAAGAATTCGAGAGAAGTGGTACTTTTTATAACACGCGTACAAATGAGCGAATGCTAAACATGCAAAAAAGATTTATGCCTT